GGAAATAGGAATGCTCCGCCCCCCCCCCCTGAAATGCGCGGTCTTGCGATAAATGTCAGGAAGGGCCAATATTCCCATGTCCTTGTTCTAGCACAAACTCTAACATAAAACTATAGTGTAAACTCGTATCATACTTCCGATCAAGATATAAATCGCGGTGGACCTCCTGGCTTGCCGCCAACATTAACAGAAACATGCCGGCTCTATTTTTGAGATAATTTTCTCCCACAAACGACAGTTTTTCTCCTAAAAAACCACAAATTACATTCCATTTTTTGAATTCTAAGCCATGCCCTTGGCGTTTGTTCACTGTCAGCTCTTTTTGCTCAGTTACACCTGCTGGCTCGTGTTAACTGACATCAGCCCATCTGAATATATTACTTGAAACAAGTGAGTAATCGCCTGCAATTATGTAAACGACCTTCTTTGAAATGTTTGACTTGCCGATGCAGTTCTTAAATACTTTGTAACGATAGGGAGTTCAAAGGCGTTGCCTATATTTCCCTTAATAAACTTGACTTGACTTGACCCTAGTCCTACCTTGAACCCTACAGCTAACACTAACCAAACTTTAAATCTAACCCTAAACTTTTGTGAGATGCGTTATCTCATGAAATGTTGGCACAAATTATGAAAGAGGTTTTTGTTTCGAACATATTGCTTAAGTAAGATTAATTGTCGTGCAACATAATCGAAACATAATTCAGTCACGTCAGGATTCTAGCTTTTGAACAAGCTTCTTTTCACCGTCTCAAGAAACCGTATTCTATATGGCCCCAATGCCTTTGTACATTTAAATATACGTTCTGAAAACACGTTCGAAAATATTTTTCATATACTCATTTGATAGAAAGTTACGTATTTTTTAAATTCTCTGCTCGAAGAAAGGGTATCTTTCGGTTTTAAAATGTGTATAATTAGGGGAACTTTAAGACCTCAAAATGCCCATTCATTATTGTTGTATTTATTCATTCAGTAATTTTGCCTTTAATATATACAACTTGTTTCACATCCATCGCAAACTTTTATGGACGATGTGCAACTTCTTCCCCACAACGGAGAGAAATACGTGATATTCCTTAAGTGGAATGCATACAGCATGTAGTCAGGAAACCCTGGATGCAAGTGTGGTGTTAGCTAGAGGCCATATTCAGCAAGTGAAAACATCTTTTTTAAACCTTCAAGCATGAAATTAGTAGAAAGCATAATATTTCACAAAATGTGCACAAAAACGAGTATTTGCATGCATGCCTTATTTGAAATATATGTGACTGTATAAGGGCATCTAAAAAATCTGAGATATGTTCCTACTTCTCACGTACTCACTTACTTCTGAAATTGACTGTAGACGTTGCAGTCGGCCGGAAATAAGTTCGCTCAAAAGTCGGATTCTTACGTGGCTGAATTACATTGGAATTATACTGCAAGGTAATTAATATTACGGTTGTGCTTAAGTTCTCTTTTCAAAACGAAAGCAAATTTCAGAATGTCGGTTACAATTTCAGGGAGATTGCATAGCTACTGTGTAAGCTTGGAAAACAGTCTTAAGTGGATTCCTTGGTCGGAGTAGTCGGAATTTCTGTTCATAATCTTTGAAGGAATGCTATGTTGTTGCTTTTTTGTCAATTCAATATTTGAGGTCTCGTTTGACACATGATCGGCCTTGTCCGCATGTTCCTTGGCTTTCGAATCGATTGTATATGATCCTCGAGATTAGTTTCATTTTTCTGAACCGCAACTACTCTAGGAACAGTGACGCTTGTTAGGTAGGCTTAAGAAATATGTCCACGGTGGACCTGAATGGCAAGTAATCAAAAAATATCATTAATTTAATCGCTAACAGACTAAATCCGTCGAAGACCGTAAGAGCTTGTAAAATGTTTGTTACTGTTAAAAGATGTGCAAATAAAATACGATTTTTTACATCTCCGAGTATTTGACATTCTTCAGAGTCGCTTTTAGTGCGACCGTAATTTTGTCAGGGATGTCAAACACATTTTTCCCACTGACTTGCCTCTTGTTCTTATTCTTTCTTCCTTTCCGCTTCCTAACTAGTTTTATGTTAATTTTCTCTAGAGGAAACGAGAATTTTTTTTTATAAAAAAAGGACAATTTTAACTTCAGTATCATGTGTTGCCTTAGGGGAAGCCCGCTTTGGCAAGTCGGTAGGATTAATTGACTGAAACCAAATCCGAATCTTATTTCCTCCTTTTGAAATCATTTGACGCCTCCAGTCTATATTCCACGAATTTAAACATCCACTGTATGTTCTTTGAATATCCCTGTTAGCTATCGAGTATTTTTATCCAGGGGACTTGCTCGATTGTATTTAAGTCGTCTGACTAAAAAATGTTTATAGGAAGACAATGTTCTGGGCCCAAAATTACTGGGTATGGAACTGGTTTCTACACGTTACCACTTTCTTAGGATATTTCGGCTGCTCGTCCGACTGCATACCACCCGATGGCGACATTTGTGATCAGCAATTAACAAATTAGTGGAAGTAGCGGTAGTAGTAGTATCTGCTACTGCTCTCTGACTATGTCTCTGATGACGAATCCGCGACGGATCTCGAAAAGTCAGGCGAATAAAAGTATTGTCCCAGCGATCGAGTTGTCTGTTTCTCAAAGAATTGGAATGTTCCAAACCTTTCTGCGAATGTCAGCAGCTGTTAATTTGACAAGACAAACAGCCCGTGTAGCAGTGCTTTAAAACGTTGGAATTCTCATCAACATGTCGCGGTTTGAGCCTCGGGTGGTGCCCCCTCTGGAGTTAAGTATGGCTCACTGATGACAGCTTATAAGCCAGAAATGCCCATTCCAGTCTCCCTTGTTTTTGTCGGCACTATTCTTCTGCTTATGATGCTGGCTGTTGGCAGAGCTCGAGAGTGGGCCCCAGGGCAGGCGGAGACGAGTGAGCCCGTGCCTGGTCAGTGAATGTTCATCTACTAATAACAGTGTTGGTATGCCAAAGGTAACAGGAATGGTACGTCTTGAGTCACTCACTGCTCTCTCTCTCTCTCTCCTATAATGCCAAGTAGTATGGTGACTGCACGTCATGTTTGTTCATCCCCCTTCGGTTTTAGCAGTTCCATCTTGTTCTGCTGCTGCTCCTATTATCCTTCAGCCATTCTTACAATTAGCCAGCCTGACTGGCTCGCTGAGCATGTAGCGGTGCGTACGTCGACACGAGTCCCCCCACTGTATCATGCAGTGCATGCCTGCCTACTTCACTCCATCCCCTTTGATCAACCTTCGAAAACTCCTCTACATCTTTCCCTAGACCATCCAATCCACCCACCAGAAACTGAGGGCGACCCCTTCCATGTGAAGTACTGGCCGTGCGCGATCCCCGCTCTTCTGAGCTTCGTCCAAGGCATTGCTCATCTTGAGCTAGCCGAACATCACCATGGTAACGGGCCTACAGGGGACGGAACACTGCTGCCCAACTTTCCGCCTATCAGCCTGCAAGAGTTTATCCAGGATGACCGTCTCATGCGTACCTTTGTGGGTAGTGGTCCACTAAAGTCCTTCTGCTATCGACGTCTCTCCTACTTGAGCTCCAAGTTCTCACTGCATGTCCTCCTTAACGAGTCGCGGGAGTCATTGGAGCAAAAACAAGTGCCCCACCGAGACTTCTACAACATTCGGAAGGTGAGAAATTTAGCATGAGGTCTACTTTTTTTCGATAGACCCTCATGTAAGTTGGTCGAGTATATAGGAAATTTATTGAGATAAGCATCGCGTGGGCGCATTTTTCGGTTTGGGAATATTTAGTTGAGAAAAAACCGTGTTTTAACCAACCGATTTAGAGTAGAGTAACAGTTATCCTTGAACTTCCTATGAAGATTAAATAGAGCTGATGGAAGCAAACACGTTATGTGTGCTTCGTTTCAGTGCTCATATCTTTCCTCGCAGCCCATCGTCCCGGAACCGTTGCCTCCGTTCCCCAAAATTCCTAAAATGTGCCAGGAACCAAATGCATCCTGTTTACTCTATGGGCCACTAAACGCTCATTGGCTTTCCGTGGCCGGCTTGGTCCGCTGTGCTGCAGCGGTTACGCTTTCTTTTTTATTTAGACTGCGAATCTACACTTTTGCCGTTCTCCATAACAGTAACCAATGCCACTAACCGCCTCCAATAACCAAGTGCCCCACCATTCTCCTTTCCAGGCCGTTTTCCTACCTACTGTTTGTGATTTCAAGAAACGAACGTTCCACTGAGACAGTTGGCGGAGTAAAAAGAATTGTAAACTTCAGAATATGCTCAAACTTAAGGCTTTGAATTCCCACCCAATTACTGTTTTCCTTGTGTGTAATTTTATGATTTTCCAGTTATTAACAACAAAATCAGCCTAAATATTTTTTAAAAATAATTTTGCCTGTTTTAGGGGTCAGTGTGCTATACTCAGTGTTTACAATTTTTCCATCGGAATCTTCTGTGATACTCTTGCAAATTTGCTCATACTTAAGAGCTTTCAGTGGTCTTCAAATGCTCATTCTTTTTCTGGAGGTGAAGCCTATATCGGTTGTTCTTCTGTGACAAATACTTTCGGTTACCATACAATATAAGTGCGTAGGGATATACGACGTATAGAGTGTACGGCCTTTGCCAGCTGTGATTGGAAAATCCGCTACTGTCATGTACCATCTGCAGCTCAACGCACTGTCACGTGAACCCTATGCCCCAACTTCTTGGTAGTCTCCTTGACCACAATCGCACGAATCTCACTAGATTATGGCAGATAACTTACTTCTTATTTCCCTTCCTCTTCCCCGTTCCAGGTGGATACGCACGTTCACGCGGCCTCTTGCATGAATCAAAAACACCTCCTGCGTTTCATCAAGAAGTGCTTCCGAACTCGGTCAAATGAACTGGTGTGCCAAGACAAGAAGACGGATGAACCAATGACATTAAAACAGGTGTGTCCTTACGTACATTGACTGAAATACTGGGGGGAGGGGGGGTTCTCGTGAAAAGGCAGTCATCTTGAAGGATTTTCGGTCATCCCATGTATCAAGCTGAACTAAGTTGGTCACTTTGTGCCCGGACCGCTGTGTCTCCTCGAAGTTGCTGACTGTACAGCCACCATAGGTCCGTAGGTGCTTTAATTGAAAGGACTAAACCAGGCTGTGGTAGCTGATATAAAGGTGTTTGGTGTAAAAAGTGTTCCTGTGGAATATATAAGTGATTGCCTACTCTACACGAGCTGGCCCCCTGGCGCCCTTATCTCGAGGCTTCCTTTGTCAGACTGAGCATGCTGTCGCATCTCTACAGCCCACTCAACGAAATGTTTCCTTACAAAGTTAGCCAGGAAGAAGGAGACAGAGTAACAGCTGCTATTTTTAGCCGTGTTCTTCAAGCAAAATCTGAAAGCCGTACTGCAGACGACAGTCTATTTAAAAACAATGAGCAAATACAAAATCTTCAACCGCAACAGCAATCATCACATGACACACAAGGAAAGTTGTGTTAAGTCGCTTTTCAGACTGCTGCAGCACCTCAGAGGATAAGGCGTTCGAAGTCCATTATCTTCATGGCTAATTTATGCGGAATGGCTATTCGGAAGCCTTAACAACCTAGTCTTTTGTTCGAGAACCCAGCCAAAGAAGATTCGAAGGAGTTTGGATGCAATTTTTGCGGAATTCAAAACTGCGATTAAATGTCGGCCGTGCGTAACCACGTCATGAAAATCCGAGACAAATGAGACCCGGGTAAACGATCCAGCATAATCTGTTTTACCCCACGCCTTAGCTGTTTTCGTATCCACTGGATGAGAACTTGGATCACACGTACATGAACACAACTCGAGGTTGTAGCCTGTACTTCATAGTCACAACTCGTCACTCACACTCAAACCGGACTAATCCTTCAATTTGAAAACCGTGGACGGGTGCAAGACAAGGTGTGAACTCATGGAAACCCGGAGCTCTCATGAGAACTAGATTAATAGGTATACGGGCTTTAAATCCACTCACAGTGCTTTCCGCGAGCACGCCCAGTCAACGCAAAAATCGATTGCTGATTGAACCCGCGTCTTTTATAAATGGCACTTTTATTATTACTGGTCTCTTACCCACGGTGATGGACGTCAGTAAGAATCCAAACAAACAATAAAAAACCGTAGCTCTCGCCTTCAATCGGCTTTCTAGCTTCAGTATTTCGAGGGAACGCTTCCGGTTTGCTAAACGGATACTTTTCGGATAGTCATCAACTCTCAGGGTCTCTGGCGAGACCCAAGGCAAAGCTGGACATATGAGTTCTGTTTGTGGTCAGGTGAACGAGTTTCAATATCCCCTGACCTAAACCCGCTAGACAACAAGGTCATGGGTCAATAGTTACGGCGTTTGACTCTGATCAAAAGGGTCACGAGTTCGAGTGGGGCACCACTTGGGTCTAGTATGACTGACTGACGGCGCTTATTCGTTACCATGCCTGTCGTTTCATCTCGAAGGAGTACGTCTATTCAAACGGCACTTCGGCTTCCGCTAGAACAGCGAGTATTTTGACATGACTCCGACCGTTCTGCAGTTGCAGCGTATGTTCTTAAGTGCGAGCCAGGTTCTGGCATATTCAAAAGAACCTCACTCCGGTTGACGTGAATGGATAACTTAAATCAGTGTACAACGTTCGGATATCCTGAAAATCTCTGACACAAACAAGTAAAGTAACTCCACTGGGATAAATGGGATGCAACAGATTTGTGTTATCCTCACGACTCTTTCCCGTTCTAATTTAGACTAGTGCACCCATGCCTAGTGACTGGTTATCTGGCGTCAGCTATCGCCAGCAAGCTTTGTAAGCTGCTCTTAAGGCAGGCCTCAGAGAAGGTTCCCATGGACAAAGCTCATGACTGCTTGAATATTTTGACGATCCCAATGCTACCATGGAAGAAATGTGGCATGAATGCTGAGTGGACGATGAACGTGCCTCTATTAGTGCCAGCTACACTGTACAATGAGCAGACGGGGTTTGTCAAGAGTCGCAATTTGAGCGATTTGGACAATGATCTTTAACCATCATAACAATCGGAAACGAAATCGAAATAAGGATCTTCAAAATCGGTAGGGGCTTTGTTTCCGTACGCCTGCGGACGGCTGTGATCGCGCCAGCCGCCTGCGCCCTCTCCCGCCTTCGGCCTTCTTGTGTTAGTCATGACACCGTGCCTAGGTGAAAAGCGAGGAGGAGGAGGGAGTGAGGTAGATGCAACGCAAGCGTAATCATTGTAATTTAACTTACTTGCATGTCCCTGCGCCTGCTTCTAGCCTGCTTTGAAGTCTGCGGTGAAGGTAGTCGAACTCGGCGGTCAAACTGTTATTTTTCGTCGTCCCCACTTCTCAGCCAAACCAGAAATATACAAAGTTTCATTCTGACTCAGCTTTCTCTAAGCGCATAAATATAGTATATCCACCAGAACCGCTAAGAAAATTCAATCATTGTCACCAGAGTCATCCTTAGGGAATTCTGGATGTCATTTCGTAGGTCTGGATCCCATTCCCTCATGTCATGGGATAGATTTGTATACTGAACACCTTTACAGCACTTGAGCTGATGCAAATTCAGGAGTCTTCATGTCAAGACTTTCGATCTCCCGTTGAAACGGGTTCAAAGGGATATTGTTAAAATGCTTACAGGTCGGTGGAGAATACTATGCATTTTACTCAAGTATGAAGGAATCAACCGCAGCTTCTTATAGTCTAGTTCAGTCTTCGGAAGGCGTCACTGTCTGTTGTCAAAAGTGAGTAATACTTTGATTCCCATTGGTACGTAATGTCAAACAGAAACGTCAAAGCCTAAGACTGAAATATAAAAATTCAGTCGCATTCCGCTAACCTTATCCTACTGCCCTAGTTGTTAACATAGCTTCATTTGCGACGAAAAGCGTGAATCCGTTACAACACTACCTCGACAATCAAACCTCGCAACAAAGCCCGTCCAGTTCAACCCCCTCAGGCTGACTTCTGAACGCCTGTGCACATTCATAGCGATGAACGTTTTGCACTCATCTCAATGGCAACAATGCTAGCATACAAATTCACAATAAAACCCCTTTCATTAATTTATGACGGACGAAATACCATGTATGTTAACTGGTCGCCTCATTCGCCTTGTCCACTCATAATCCTAAATTAATCCTTACGGGTCTTACAAGGTCATCTTCATAAGAATGAACCACATGTGGATTTTTGAATGCTTTTTGTAATTGTTTGATATTGCGTAGTTAACTTCATGCCGAGTGTCCTTATAAACCATTTTTAGATTATTTTATGCTTTGGCCACTGACGATTTTCTTACATTTAGCGCTCACTATATTGTCTGTCGTCAAATTTCGTTGACCTAATTCCGGTCAGGCCTTTGATCTGACCGCATTGATACTTTAGGGACTGAATCGTTCGCCTTGTAACCTTAAACGTATCAAGTAGGACTTTTGCACAAACGAACTGACTAGTCCGGCCTTTCTGCATCCGGATTTGGCTCATCGGTGTTAAGTTAGTTAATGTTAAAATATGTCCGTCGAGAAAGCTTACAGTGCTCAGTGCTCGCCGTATCTGTCGCCGATTGTAAGCGAATACGAGGGCTCCCGAGCCAATTCTAATGTATCCCCATATTTATTCTTATGTTCCTCTTCTTTTTTAGCTGATGGACCATCTGAAATTGACAGTCTACGACTTGAACATCGACAATCTGGACGTTCACGCAGTACGTTCGGTGTGGTTTTTGAGTTTTTAACAAACCCCTGCTGATCTCAGGGGACAAGAAGGCGCTCTGAGGCGCCTCAGGGGTAGAAAAACCTGGAGTTGCATATGGCCCAGAGGTTGGGAACCTTTTTTACTCTGAGAGCCAAGAAAGCAAATATTTGGAAATATATTTCAGTGAGATCCATACATATCTCAAGTTACAAATTCCAATTTTATCTGACAGGGCCAGATGCGTGAGTGGTCGAGATTAAATTAATTCCGCTACGCGTCTCTGCGGTAGCACGTCATTGGATGAACCAAAATCACAAAATCTGAAGTTTCTAATTCCGATTTTATCTGAAAAAGCCAGATGCAGTCATCAAAAGAGCCATACCTGGCTCGCGAGCCATGCGTTTCCGACCCCTGCTATGGCTGGTTGATGACGGCTAATAAGCCAGAAGTGGCCATCCCAGTCTCTTCTGTCTTTATCGGTGATGGTAGGCGGCTCCGAGGTGTGTAATTAACTGTGTGAAGGCGATCCCAAAGTCGTCTGTCTGATTAGTTGACCTGCCTTAAATTAACAGAGTCACGACCTCCGAATGCTCATCATGACAATAGGGATGTATTTGGCGCAGCAGACGACCAGCTCCCGAGTTCTATCTAAAACGCGGGGCACTCGCATGTTACACCCGCCTGTTCTCCCGTCGGACTGCCCCTTTAGACCAACAACCCTGTGAAGGAAGTCGGCGGGAATTTAAAGTCCATCAATCCTCCTGTCTGATCTCTCATGCTCTCTCAGCCGACTACGCACGACAACTGCGAATTTCGAGTGCCCTGTTGTTTAAAGACCCGTCTTCTTCTCCTTACTAACACCGGAGCGTTTTTGTTGTTTTTTAAACTCGGAAGTAGGTAAATTTGTTTAAAAACAAAAAGGCCGCTGACCCCTTACCTTTCTCCGAACACCTGGCTGACCTTTCGCGGACGCGTCCGCTGATTTACGTTCCTTTCTTAGACAGTCTCCCTCAGGGGAAATTGAATTTTTACTATCTAATCATTTTGAGTTGAAACTGCCTTTTCATCCCCGAGAGTGAATCTGCCAGTCGACAGACGGAACCCGCTGGCCACGCACAGGTTCCTACTGTCTTACCTAAGCTGCTGGGTCAGCATTGTCATGTTAAATTATTCCGCGTGTCTAAAATGCGCCCCCTCCCCCCTAAAACTTGGGTCAAAAGACTTTTTTGGCGAAAAACAGACTGCTGGTCATTACCGATATCATTGTCGGTTGGTGGTTGATTTAGACGCACGTTTTCAGCAGCCAGTTTAAACCCACTGGCTCGCCTTTAAAAGAGGACTGTTTGCCTGCCTGTTCTTCACCGTAATTTAACTGCGAATGCCACGGTTTGTGTCTAGGCATTGCGTGATGGATGCAGAGGTTGTTCACTTAGAAAGGTTTCGTTTGGTGCATGCCAATTTCCACCCTCCCAAGTGCCTCCTGGCAGGCAGGCAAGTAGCCCTTGTTGGATCCGGAACCCCACCGGGTGGGCCTCAATCCCGGCGGCGAGGAGAGGGGGGAGAAGGAGGAGTCGGAGCAGCATAGTCAGGAGGGGCTGCTCTGTCATAAA